TTAGGGTATATTTGTGGTATGGCTGAGTTATATAAGGCTAGACGGCTGGATTATAGAAACGTTGCGGCTGGGTTATATAAAATATACATTAGCAAAAATATACAAATCGTTGAAAGGCTTCTTAAACTGTGAATACATGTCAGTTCCTCTTTCATCCAGGATCTCTGCTGCCATCTTCACCTATTTACCTTGAATATTCCTATCATTTATCCCAGGAAAAGTCACGGCAAGCACTAAGCATTCCAAAAACTTCAATGCATACACTCCACAATCAACAACTTGGATGTTTTGGGGAATGTAATCGCCTTTCCTCCTTCGGAACGAAAAATGCTTCTTTCTTTGTTTTCGGAATTTGGCAGGAATATTTTAATTCAACATCGTAGGTAGCATTTACGTAAGAGGCTTAAATGCATCAATCATTCTCTTTTCACTGGTATTTTTTTATCGTGTTTGTGTTTTTTACTGGTATTTTTTATAGGTTTATCATTGATTGCTTATCATTATATCTTTCTAAAGAATGTAAACTATATTAATCTCAAAATATCCGTTTATAATAATTTTAACTTTTAGTTTGAAGTTTGTTTGCAGAAAAAATCCAATTTTTTACTCTTAAAAAAGAAAACAGAGCTTTATAGCATTTAAATTTTACTTTTTAATTATTCATTTGCGCAAACCAAGCGATCATAACACTTCCTTATCATTCATTCCGTGATGATTGATTGCTTCTTAGAAATATGTAATAAGGTAATAAATATTATATATGTAGTCAAGAATCTTGCATAATCTTTTGTTTCGAAGCCCAAAATTTTCCCTTACGTTTCTATTCTCTAGCCATCTCCACCTTTTTGAGGCTATTTAGTATGAAAAAAAAAATCAGAATATGATTCAGTCAAAGAAAAAAAATCAGAATAAATTCTGTTCATTTTTGTGTGTATTTGTATTTTATTTCATACTTAAATCAGAAGCTTTTTTTTGTTTAGTTGTCTAGTAGTCTTATCCATTATCCTCTTTCATTCCTATTTTTACCATTTCTCAGTATTTATCAAATTGATAGTAACATGCATATAACTCGTGATATTTATAAGTAATAGTGTTCTGAAGATTGATTGTTTATCTTTATATTTTTTCAACCTCATTTAGAGTTTAACATTTGAAGTAACTGAGATGGTAAGTTTGTATGTAAAAAAAACAGTCATTATCAGTGAGATTTTTAAGTTTACATCAAGGAAAATACACTAATAATCAAACTATACGTTAAATTTTGTAATCAAGAATAAAATATAGTTTTATATGTTCCATTACTACATATTTTTTTGTAACGGTAGTAAATACTCCAAAGCATGATTTAACGTTATATAGGGTTATGCGAATTTATTAAGAAAAGATTACTTACAAAAAATAAATAAAAATTTTAATTATTTTTAATTTGTGGGATCCACAACTTGCTGATGTGGACACTTTAAGAAGAGAAAAAACTCTCTCATCATAATATAGATTGTTGTATATGAAATGTTTTTCATAGAATTTACATGTGATTTTAAATATAATTTTACTACATATTATCAAAATATATTGAAGTGACAAGAAAAAATATAAATGAAATCCACTGAATATAAAAAAAACACAAGATTTGGTTGTACTTATATAAACTATATATATATATATATATATATATGAATTATTAATTTATGATTATAATGGGATCATATATTTACATAGAATTTTCTAAGAAAATATTATCTCATTATTTTATATCCTTGTGTCATATTTTCAACCGGTCTAATTTGTTCAAAAAATTATTAATTTATAATATTTATTAATTTTTCGAATATTAATTTACATAATTTCTACTGTATATGCAATGGACATGTTGAATTTTTAATTTAACATTTAAATGACCACAATGAAATTATTGAAATAATGTATGGTGATTTAATTCAGTTGAAAACTTTTAACTAATTGAAAGTTTAAATACCGGTCGTTGCCTCTCAATTATCCTCCCTCAAAGAGGCTCTCATGATGTCTACTTCATGGGTCTCACTCCCCCCCATATGGCTTTACTAGTAACATCATGCCGTGGATCTTCTGGTTTTTGTGGACCTCAAGGAATCAACTTATCTTTGAGAATAAACCTTCAACAGCAAAAGAGATCATCCTTAAAGCCCTCATCACCATAAAAGAATGGGACCAAGCCCAACTGCATATCAGCAAACCAAGTTCCACTCAACGCCAATCGGTCTTCTCCACCACCACCAAGCTTCTAATCTCCACACAAGCTACTGAAACACTGATGACGTTTGGCGTTCAGATTCAGGACAAGCCGGTCTATCTTGGATTTTCACCGATCACGAAGGATATGAGATCAATCGTGGATCTCTGTTCCAAAATCACATCTCCTCCACTCAATGGAACTTCACATCAACTTCATGTGGCTCCGATCAGTTTCCCAAGTGCTCATTAGAACTTTATCTTCGGGTCGCCATCCGACCAAGCTCTACGGAGTATTTTCAGACATCATCTTTTTCTTCCTGTCATTTTTCTCTCATCAAAAGAGAATTTAAAGGTTTTACTGACTTAAATGCTAAAGTATGCTTACATTCTGACCCAAACATTTGTATCTTCTAACAACTTCTTTTTATATATATATATCTATTTGTAGTTGCCAAAAAAAAATATAGGTTTACAAGTGACACATGTCATCAGTTGAGGACATGTATATATATAGACAATTATATGTGTTATAATATTACTAGGTGACCGGCCCGCACCTTGTGCGGGTATATACAGATTCAAATTATGGACTTAATAATACAAAGTTTTAGAAGTAATAGATTTTATATTTAAGACCACCGTCTTTGAGGTAAAGCATCAGACACAGAAAAATACTGGTACACAATATTTTACATGGAGGAGATAGAACAAAGTAACTTCAGTATCAATATGTAGTTATTGTGTGTATTTATAATTGCAACATCACAAAAAGATTTGTGTGTTGAAGGTTGAATTTTATTTTCCAAATCTGAAATTAATAGTATGTAGTTTTTTATAAGTAACATATTTTCTATTATCACTAATTAGAATTGTATTGTATATGTGTTGTAATTCTTTATTTTAGGTGAAAAATATTATTATGCATAAATACATATTCTCTATTATGCTAAAGTTATTTTATAAACAATTTT